CACCGCGCTCTGCTTGCGTCTTGGGGATCCCTCTCCTTTCGCTCTTTCCTGTGCGGGTTAACACCCCTCCTCCCCACCCATATACCCCTTCCCGGTGTTTCTCTGCCCTCGGGGCCTCGCAGCATCCTCCCCCCGGGATCCCACGGACCTCTCTGCCCACCTCGATCCTGTCCCCCTCACCCCCCGCACCCCCCCGGTGTTGGCTCCGGCGGGGCCCGGCGTGTCCCGGGATCGGGATTTAGGGCAGGGACCTTCGCCAAGGACATGGTGGCGATTCCCCCTCCCACGGGTGTCACCCCCTGAGTGACAAGGCACAAGCATCGCTGGGAGCTTTCCCGCGGTTCGCTTCCTGCTGGGGCTTCTCCGGTGGCTAGTAAAGGGTCGGACTGTCACCGGGGACCGGGGACCGTGGGCAGCTTTCTCGCCTCCTTCTCTTCATGGAGAGAGGAAATACCGGCGATGCCTGCGCCTTCGGGAAACGTGGCGAGATTGGGCAATGGGTTCAAGTGCTGCTGGGGGAAGGGACTCTCCCACGCACACACACTCCGAGCGGGCGGGAACCGGCACCGTTTCCATAGGGAAATGGGCTAAATACGCCTGCACCCCTGCCTACCCCTTGGGGCGCTGGGGAACCCCCCATCCCGAGCCCTCTGCACCGGTGCTTTGGCCAGTTCTATGTTCCCCATCGGTGTAAAAGCTTCCCTCTTCCCTCCGCGCCAGCTTCCAGGCTGCCCTCTGACCGGAGGAGAAAGGTCTGCAGGCCCTGGATTGCTTAGAGGAGGAGGAGGAGGAGGAGAAGGAAGCAGCGGTGGTGTTTGCCTTGCCCATGTCTGCAAGGCTTGGCTTTGGCCGTGCATTATTAATGTTGGCTCAGAAAGGCTTTTCCTTAACGTGCCCTGACGGCCGGTGAAGAAGTGGGGACACCTCACACCCAGGTCAGCAGCCCAAAAGCCCAGCGTGAGGCTCCCTCCATCTCCCCATCCCCATGGACGGGAACCGAAATTCCACCCTGCAGCATACACCAGCAAACCCAGTGCTCAGAGGAGAAGCTGGCCTGGGAGGAGGTGGTGGGAGGAGAAAACAGCAAATTCCCACTCTCTCCTCCTGGTTGGAGGAGGATGTTTTATCCCTGGAGCTAGATGTCTCGGAGGGAGAGGGTGCCTGCAGGTTTCTTTCTTCCATGTTGGGGAGGGCACTGAGACTGTATCCCGCTGGTGGGATCTCTGCTTGCCTCTAGAGAGCATGGGGAGGAGTGTGACAATCTCCTTTGAAAGAAGGGGGGACATTTCTGGATGTAAGGGAGGATCGTGTTGAGGAATGCACATGGGGAAACTGAGGCAGGGAGCAGTGCAAGGTGTCATATCCCGGAGCAGGGATCCATGCGGGTCTCCACCCCCTGCCACGCACTCAGGACCATGGTCTCCTTCCTCCCCTTCAGATGCTGCTGCCACCCCGGGTCTGGATCCTGGTGGGTACCTGGTGGGGAGCACTGCGCAAGCTTTGGAATGGGTACGAGGCCAATGTGGTGTACCCATCACCACAGCTGGAGGAATATAGAGAGCAGCTGGATCTCAGCCTCCTCCCACACTAACCTTCCCTTGCTGGAGAGGGGGTTTCTTGGGGTGTAACAGACGGGATCAGGCTGGCCTGAAATAGCAGCAAATCAACAGCTGACTCTTTCCAGCAAATGATATGGAAAGCGGGGAGCGTTTTCCCACCCTCTGCTCTCGGGGCAACTCCCCCAGCATCTCTGACAGCCACAGTTGCATGTGGCAGGGAAAAAAGGGGAACTCCCCCAGCAGAGGTTCCCAGCCGTCCTCCTCCGACGTCTTCTCCGTGCCAAGGCTTCAGCAGCGTGTGCAGAAAAGTCCATTGTAGGCAGTTTTTGAAATAACTTGCCTAGAAAGGAAGTTTCTGCACTTTGAAGCTGGCTCCTGCCCCAATCCGGGCACATCACTGCTATTTTTTGTTTAAATCCTTCTTGAGGAGCAGGGGGAGAGGATGGGGGTTGATGTCGGGTCTCTACAAATCTTTGCGCCCTTTTTTTTGGGTTCCTTGGACTGAGAGGTGTCACGTGCTGGTGCCCTGGCTGCAGTTTTCCCAGGCTCCTTCCTCAGACGCTTTTGTTGCTGTGCTTGCTATGGGACCAGAGACGGGGGTCCCAAGGGACCAGTGGGTTATCTGTGGGCGGGCGGGTGACTCTGAGGACACCGGATGCTGGGGACCAGGTGCTGTGCTTAGAAATGATCCCAGGGGGCCGTGTGGATTTCCATTGCAGCTTGCTGGGGATGGGGATGGGAATGGGGTGTGGTTGTGGATGAGTCCATGGGCACCCGCAGCTCCCAGGCTGCCTGTATCTGTCCTGCAATGGCTTTCTCTCCCTCTTCCCCTGCCGCTGCCTTATTCCCTTTCCTGGCAAAATATTTGCGTCCCGCGCAGGGGAAATCCAGTGGCTTTCGGCGGCCAGTATCACACAGACAGGAATGTCTTGGCACGCGGGGCTTTCCATTAGGAAAACAGATGTTTCTGCAGCAACTGGAGTTTTGCAAAGAGTTTTCCCCAGGCTTGGAGGGGCAGGAGTTGGTGAGGCAAGCGCTGTCGTCAGCAATGCCTGTCCCTTACACTGTCCTCCTGTATTTTGGGAGTGATTCGGGTAGCTTAGGCTCCAAATCCTGCTGTGTCACACTGTCACCAGGCTTGGATCATACCCTAGAAGGGGGTAAGTAAATGCATGAAGGGACCCGGCCACAACAGCCCAGGGAGGTGCTGATGGTCCAGCCAGATCTGAGCAATGTCCCGGCACATTCCTGCCTGGTCTCTCCTGCCCTGCCAGCTGCCTCCTGGGACTTGAGGGATGCTCTGGGCTCAGATCTGCACCCAGTGCTTCCAGTTCCTTGCTTACCCCTGTCCCCACAGGAGACAGTGACACAAGCACCCTGGATTTATTTCCCTGAGGGGGTTGGTAGCCGGTGGGTGCCATAAGTTGTTGGTTGCCAATGGTCATGTCCCCAGGTCTTGGACAGGGTCCCTTGGGATGGTTCCCTGCAGTGTGTTCTCCCGTGCCATGCTGTTCATCAAGCAGCTTGGGAGTCCTGCAGCCACCGTGGTGACACCTCTGCTGGAATGTGCTGGGCCTCAGGGCCCTCGGCTACCAGGGTCACCTTGGTCCCCACCAAAAACACTGTTCTCTCTGTCTCCCTGGCAGGCTTATCTGCGAGCGGTCGATGTGAAGATCCTGCAGCAGCTGGTGGTGGTGAATGAGGGCATTGAGGCGGTGAAGTGGCTGCTGGAGGAGAGGAAGCCCGCTGTGTCGTGTAGCCAGTACAGCCTGGTGGAGAGCCAGGTGGCCTCGCGGCGGGGCAGCTGGGACAGCCTGCAGGACCCCAACGACAGGCTGGACAGCATCTCCGTCGGTAGCTACCTGGACACGTTGGCTGATGACATGGATGAGTATTCCCAAAACGCCGCTGAAACTGCCGCCGCATCTGTGCCAGGCAGAGCCCTGGTCAGGGCGGAGCAGGATTGGGTCAGGATCGACCCTGAGAGGAGTCTTGCAAAGCAAGAGAAGGGCAAAGCAGAGCACGAGTGGCCCCACGTGGACCTCTCCCCACCTGGGCTGCCCCAGGATCACCGGTTTGCTAAGGAGCCCCAGGTGGCCAACGGGTATCTGGGACAGCAGCCGCCTTCTCTGGAACCAGGCAGAGACACCAAATTGCCATTGGGGGCTGGGGAGAGGCTGGGGAAGGGGAACCCGGGTGGGAAGGCTTGGAAAGCTGAGGCTGACTTTGAGAACTGTAAACTCAACAGCAAACTGCACCTGGAGTACGATGCCCACTGGCGCTGGCTCCAGTCTCAGGACGATGTGACGTTCTTGTAGCCTGTGGCTTTGCCTTCCCAGTCCAGCTCTCCCAGCTGCTCTGCTTGGGAGAGCTGGAGGGGCTGAGGAGGGAAGTGGGCTGGCTTGGTGGTGTTGCACTGTTCCCCTGACCTCCCTGTCAGTGTTTGGTGATGTGGCCCTAAGGCATGGGGTGCCCACCCCGCAGCGAATTTCTGGGAGAGGTGGGATGAGGTGGGTCCCTGAAAATTTAATTCTTTGCTCTGGGGTGGTGAGTGCAGGTGGCTGGTCACTCCTCTCTCGTCCTTGGTGTTGGTAGCAGGGAAGGGTTGGTGGGGAAACCTGTGACAGCGGGACTCCTGGGACATCTTCTTTCTAATCTTCAGCCTCTTGTCTGCAAAAACTGGGGACCCTTCCCCCAAACTAACTACCCAGAGAGGACAGGAGCTGCTCCTATGCATTCGCAGCTTGGTGGCACCAGCATGCTTGGTGCGAGCTGCAGGGCAGGACC